TTCAAATTTACGTTGATGATATTATCTTTGGATCAACCAATAGTGTGTTTTATGAAAAGTTTGCCTCTAGCATGCAAAATGAGTTTGAAATAAGCATGATAAATGAACTTACCTTCTTCTTAGGATTGCAAATCAAACAAACACTTAATGTTATTTTCATTTGCCAATCTAAGTATATTAAAGATTTGCTAAACAAATTAGACTTAGAGGAAGTCAAACATGCCAATACTCCAATGAGCTCATCTTTGAAACTTGACAAAGATGAAAAGGGCATTAATGTGGATATTAAAAAGTATAAAGGTATGATTGGTAGTCTCTTGAATTTAATCGCAAATAGACCGGATATCATGTTTAGTGTATGCTTATATGTTAGATTTCAATCATGTCCTAAGGAATCTAATCTATGTGTCATTAAATGCATTTTTCGTTACTTAAGTTATACCATATTTTTAGGACTTTGGTAACCTAGGCATACCTCATTTGAACTTGTTGGTTACTTGGATGCGGGTTTTGGAGGATGCAAAGTTGATAGAAAAAGTACTAGTGGGACTTTCATTTCATTGGATAATCATTAGTGTCTTGGTCTTGCAAGAAACAAAACTCTATAGCTCTATCAACGGTAGAAGTCAAATATATAGCGATCGGAAGTTGTTGCGCTCAATCGCTTTACAGTAAGCAATAACTTGAGGATTTTGGACTCTATTACAATCATATTCCAATTATGTGCGATAGCACAAGTGCAATATACATTTCTAAAAATCTTATTTAGCACTCAAAGACAAAACATATAGAAATTTGGTACCATTTTCTTAAGGATCATGTTTCTAAGGGCAACATTGAACTTGTATTTGTCAATACTGAAAAACAATTAGCTGATATCTTCACTAAACCACTCCAAGAGGATAGATTTTGCCTATTAAGAAGAGAAATTGGAATGACCACAGAATAAGAAATAATGTGCTGAAGCAAGCAGCAGCAGAGCTGGCTCTATACAACATAGAGCCGCCTCTATAAAGGAACAGAGCCAGCTCTATACAAGGGAAAACCGACTCAGTAAAGGAAAGAGCCGACTCCATAATAGGAAGAGCCGGCTCCATGCCTATTAGTGTTTTCCTACTCTCAGGATCTTTTTAATATAGAAGATAAAGCTGACTCCACACAAAGGAGAGTCGGCTCCCCACCTAGAATATATCTTATAAACTCTCGGTATGTCTCATTTAGGGCATTTCTATTAGAATTTCAGAGACCAAACCTCTAGGGTGACTTCATCTGTGCTTTGGGGTCTTTTACTAGTAAGATTACGTCATCAAATTCAGTCCTTAATTCATGAATTCTTGCTCCTAATTTACATTTTCAGTCAGTTATTCCTAAGTTCATTTCACCTAGTCTCATCATTCACTAAACTCATGTGTGCACCGAATATCTCTCTTCCTCAAAAATGTTTGGTTCATCCTCTCTGGTAAGAATCTATTATTTATTCTTTTAAATTCGTGCCTTTATGATGTTCCTAGTCACCATTATTTAAGCATGATTCTATCTTTGCACTCTATGTCAAATTCTTCTCTATCAAACCCTCATAACCGTAGATATATCATGTAGTGATTTAAACACAAATTTTGGGTTTGTATTGTGAATTTGTGCACTGAATTGTGGGTTTTATTGTATTTTAATTGAATTTTTATTTTGAGTGTCCTTTGTGCATTCTCAATCAAAACTCTTTTTAATCCAAACCCTAGAATCCATGGCTTCCTCTTCACTTAGGAGAAACCCTCCTCGTTCTCGTGCCCAACGTACTCAAGATCGTGAATTCGGCCTTAGTGAACCAAATCCTCCTCCAAGACCCATTCAAATATCTGCAACTATATTGTATAGAAACCCTACATATAAGAGGTTGTATAAGAAAATATTTCTCTATAGGAAAGTAGCCAAAGGGAAAGTTCTGTCACACACAATATGTAACGACCTCAACATCAACACCAACAAGCTCTTTGATGCTATTGGCCTTGGTGCATTTGTTAGGATGGACAACAAATATTATCCCAAACTTGTGAAACTGTTCTACACGCTCTTTGAAAAAATGCTCGGTGTAGAGAAATTACAGTGCTTTGTGGTTGGAGTAGAATTCCACCTTGATGTTAGCGGCATTGCATGAAATATTCATCTTATGGATGGAATTTAATTATACTCACCCCACAAATAGTATAATGGGGAAGATTTTGACAAACTAGCAGCAATTCAACAAATGAGCTATGATTCCCACACTACCAACACAAAAGAGATAAAAGCCAAGCAATTGACAATGGAAGCTCGCCTAATCCACAAAATCATCACATACTCCATTCTTTCGAAATTCGGCAATCGCTCCAAAATCTCTCAAATGGAAGTCTTTTTGATTTGGTATGTCTTGAATGGAGAATACTTTGATTTGGTATACATCATCTTTCATCCCTTGTATGCGTGTAAGAATAAGAAAAATGTCCCCCTATACTATGCCATGGTTCTCACTCACATCTTCATCCATAAGGGAATTGCGCTTGATGATGGCGAATCAGTCGAACAAGGACCAAAAGATATACTCATTGCCACAAATCTTGAGATGATGGGGCTGAAAAGGGACACAAATAATGTGTGGTATTATCCCAGGAAAAGAAGGATGGAAGAGGCTAGGGCTAGAGGAGAAGAGATTGATGATATTGATGATGGGGAAAAAGAAAATAAAAGTGATGATGGTGCTGAAAATGAGTCAATAGACTTAGGGCTCAAAACTCCTCTTAATAATCCAGCTAAAGATCGTTCCAATCGTGACCTCTTGTTAGAAATCCTTGATGTTTCTCGTCAAAACCAAGTTACTCTTGCAAGTCAACATAAACAAATTGGCGATGTGATCACTGCCATTGGAGATATTCATGTTAATCTCCGAGAAATGCGACGCACACATGGTCTTCCTCCTCCTTAGGACAGTAGCAACCCTTTAAAATCTATGTTGTGCACTACATTTCTATATATGCTTTCGAGAAGCATCTTTTTAGTTGTATTTTGCTTATGTCATTTCCTTTTAAGGTGTTTCTTTTTATTTATGTTTTTGTCTATCGAATGGCATTTGTTGTCACCATTCTCATGATGTATTGAAATATGCCATCTATAAAATGAAAATTTGTTTTCAATGTCTCTTTATATGCTTTATCTCTCATTTTTCTTATATTTATGCTCTATTATTTCATGGTATGGCAAGCAAATACTTTGTCCTCCTACCTTTTTGAGATGATAAAGGGGGAGAAATATGAGTGTATTAATGATGTGTGATTCATTATGCTTATGCGTATATTATCTTTCAATTATATATTTTGATAGACGCATATTGATAAGGGAAGACTTATAGAAATGTTGTGAAGTTTAAATGCACATAAATATCTAAAATATTTGTTGAAAAATCAATCATGCTATTATATTCAAAATATGCATATCAATAGGGGGAGCATTCTTCCAAATGTTACTCCACTTGATCATAAACATATCAATGTTTTGTCACCATCAAAAAGGGGAAGATTATTGGCCTTAAAGATCTTACCTAAAGGACAATCTAATTGTTTTGATGATTGCAAACCATTAATGATGTTTAAGTACTAATATCTTCATTGAGTGATGTATAGATGATCATTATTCAAGGGTAAACCTCAATGATGAGCTACAAAGTCTACTCCAAGCAATGGATACAAAGTGATGAGCTATAAAGACTATCCCGAGCATTCTAAGCAATGGATACAAAATAGCCTTAAAATTGCAAGAAATCAAAGGCATATCCAATCAAAGAAAACTCGGATTACAATGATCATCCAAGCATTTCAAAGAAAGAAAGTAAGTCTTTATCAAGCCTAAACGATCATGGACAAAGAATGAAGAAAATGGTAGATAGAATGGTGAGAGCTTAGGACCAAATGTCAAAGTATATTTGAATACATTTTGAAGCTCAAAATTATAGGATCATGCATATTCACTCTAATTCTGGTTTCAAAAGCCTAAAGATTGTTCATGAATTTCATATATACATTCTCACATAAGCTACACATGATAAGAAGTATATAGGACAAAGTTAAATCCATTTTTAGTCATACACAACAAAGGAGCCATCTCCATGAAAAGTATAGCAGGCTCTTTTCTGTCCAGTAACCAAATTTTGGCCCAAGAAAGCATACTTCCATGAATAGAGTCACCTCCCATTTTGGGAGCCGCCTCCATGAGGTATGGAGCCGCCTCCATGAGGCATGGAGCCGCCTCACAAATGAAAGGGAGCCGCCCCATTTAAACATAGAGCCACCTCTCTCTGTGAGATTTGAATCCCAACGGGACTTTTTGCATTTAATGAACTCCAACCACCTCTAACAGCTATATTGAGCTCCAAAACTCTATAAATATAGATGATTGGTCTGCTGAACATTCACACCACTTGAAAGAGTATTCAAGAGCCATAAATATTCTCCTTTGAGCATTCATTCATATCACTTATCTTTTATATCATCTTAGAGTTTGAGCTTCATTTATATTCATATCTACTTTATTTGTGAGCTGAATTTGTACAACTTTTCTTTGAGAAAGAAACAATCTTGTACTTTCATTTATATTACTACAAACTTGTAAGGGTTGGTGTGACCCAGAAAGAAGTCTAGGAAAAGGGTGTTCTCTTAGCACGGAAGAGAAGTAAGGACTTGCTTCATTTGAAGGTTTGCTCTCCACCATTAAGGAGAAGCTCTAGTGAATTTGGGAAGTCTCAAAGAGGATCTTGAGCCAAGGAGTAGGAGTTTCCAAACCTCGCTAAATCACCGAGTCATTGTTTGCAATTTCTTATCCCTATCTCTTTTATACTTGTGCTATATATTGCTTATCTATCTCAATTGATTATTACATGATAGTTAGCTAGAAATCATTTTTATAAATTACGAAAATTGGTCATTGACTCTATTCACCCCCCTCTAGAGTCAATTAGTGGTTAACACATAACTTACCCGATTTCTTGATAAATTGTGATCTGTTTATGAACTGCTCGAATTGTCCAACCTGCACATCTAAGTAAACGGGGCTGTAATAGCGAAATAACGGCTGTGTGATTGTTGCTCCTGCAATGGCGAAATTCGCTCCATGTGTGTAATTGGTTCCCAAAGAATTGAGATAGGCATCCAGAAAAGGAAGACCTAAACGTGAAGCTACAAATGCACAATTTTTGGATCAATGAATGGAGCAAAATTTTTGTTATACTAATAATAGAGGAGTTGTTTAATTTCAAGTCAATTTAAAAAGGCTAATAATTCAAATAAAAGTCCACGGATTCTAGCTCTCTCTAATTGATACAATAATTGAACATTAGTCGAGATGCTATGATCGTTAGAATCCCTCTTAAGAGTAGTATTATGAGTATGTGTGCGTTTTCAAGAATATATATATAATTTTTAAAATAGTAACATTATTTATTTTATGATCTCCGTATTTATTTTTTATTAGCTCTATGTATCTGTAAAATCGTTTTTCTATCTCTCAATAGGTGACACACAATATCTATTCAACTTTTATTGGGCAAGTGTAGATCCAATGAAATTAACATTTATATTTATTCTGTGTATATCTTAGCTATCCCTTACTGTTATTTTGATAAAAGGTTTATATAGAATGGATAATTTTGGAAAATCCCTGCTAAAATGAGTGCTCATGGAATTTCTTGTACCTACCAGTCTTCCACTACAGTTTTCACAAATGAACATGACTAGTAGCATTCTGAACCATCGGTACATGATAATTAATAATAATATAATTAAAATTAGGGTTAAGGTAGGAAAAATTATTAGATGGTATGTCTAATAAAAAGTTCCCACTAAAAAAATTTGGCTCATTAATGTTCAAGTAATTTGAAAGTCGAATTCATCCTATTGTTCAAAGTGAGTGGGAGTGACACCGCCCTGACATCATTACATCGTAATATCACCTCTTAAGTAAATTTCATCGAATGTGTCCGACTCTAAAACTTTATATCATTATTCTCTGATATGTAAGATATTATAAAAATAAAAACAAAAAAATAAAAATAAAAATAAAAATTATTGAGCATGAGTTATGATTGCAGTGGACTACCAAATAAATTATGAGTCAAAACTAAGTGACAGGTAAACAAAAAGTGAGGTCCTAATGCATACCAATGAAATCGATAATAAGCCGTCCATCGGAAAACCTCCCGTTTGGCATGTGAAAGAAGGTTTCCCCATATGGTGGAGGGTTCCATTCAAAGGTTGCTGCCAGTCCACCGGTGTCCGAATTGGAGTCGCCGAAGTTGAAAATGGCCGGAAAATCACAAGTATCGTCAGCAAAAACAGGGTTGAGGACAGTGGCATAACACAGAAGCATGCAAAAACAAGAGAGAGTAAAGGCAGGTTTGATCATCTTTAGACACTTCATGTTGTGGAAGAGAACATGTATGCTGAAGCCAGAGATAGTAATTCTGCTTATTTAGTGTGACAAAAGGTAAGACTTTTCAATTGCATCAATAAGAAGAAATATATATATGTATATATATATATATATGTATATATATATTTTAAAATGTTAAAAGCATGGAAAGGGTTCCTTTGACTTGTATTATATTTTTAAATTTACAATTTTTTTTTTCTTTTACCGTGTTATATATGTATAAATGTTTATTCTTTTATTGTAATTTATTTGTATTAATTGATTTAGTAAAACTATATCATTATTAAATTTTTAAATAAAAACAGTGACTTCAAATTTATAAATAAATTATTACTCATGTTAAATAGTCTTTAAAAATTCAATAAAATTTACTAAAAATGAATAAATAATTACTCGTGTGATTAATCTTTAAAATTTTAATAAATTTCACTAAAATTTCATCTTTATCAAATTATATTGTAAAAAATTGCTTTTCATACATTTTGGTCCTTATGTGTGAAGTAGAGAATTTTTTATGACTCTGATAACTGATGATAGACTGATTTTAATACACCCCGGCCAATATTCTGAACTTTGATTAAGAGTAATAGTTGATTGTTTCTTATCGTTTATATGCATATATAAACGCTTTCTGAAAATTTTCTGGACAGGATATATATATACACATATATAATTTCTTGGACAATCAATTCTATCCTCTGTATCTATTCGACTCCACTTAAATAACTTTGTTTGGTTGCACTTGCGCTTAGAAACATTTATTAAAATTTTGTAAACAGTCAACAATATAAAAATCTCATAGACTTGTCAAATATTGTCATGTCCTCAAAATTTTTAGAAAGCGATTGAAATGAGGACATGACAATATTTGACAAGTCTATGAGATTTTTATTTTGTGGACGATCCGCTATGAAGTATGGACACTTTTTTTAGGAGTTTCGTACCAATATCGGACACTTTTTAAATACGGACACGTGTGTTTAAGGCTCAGACACATATTCGACATTTCTGTAAAGTGTCTAAAAATTATTTTTTATTAGACACGAGGTGGACACGGCTCAGATAAGCGGGGGACACGGCTCAGACACGGCGGGGTATATTTTGTAATTTTTTTAAAGATAAATGGGGTACCTATTGTAATTTTTTAGAAGTTTAAAAGTAAATTTTTTTTTAAAAGTTACATGAAGAAGATTTTGTGAAAGACTGCAAGTATATATATTTATTCATGTACATATTTAGCCCATTATAACTATATCTCTTCTGCACATCTTCGTTTGAAATTTGGATCAACTTTATTTTTCATTTATTTTCTATTTTTTCTTGTCTATGTTTTTCTTAGAACAAAAATGAAATTATTGAAATTGGTCATGTTATTTGTTGTTTTATTTGCAATTTTGTATTTATATATATCTGTTTGTTATTAAGAAAATGAATGTGCAAGGTAAAATTTGTCGTTCACCGTATCAGTGTCATGTCATACTCGTGTTTCGTATAAGTGTCCGTACTTCATAAATAAAATATATATATATATAAATAAAGCTTTCTGAAAATTTTGTGGACAGTCAATCCTGTCCTTCTCTTTATTTTCCTCATTTCAATCACTAAATACGTCTATAAGATATATATATATATAATGAAATAAAATATGAAAATAATGGAATAAATATTAAACAACAGAACATGAATAACTTTGAGGACAGGCTCATTTTAAGTTTAGTTCTTAGTTTTCATTTCAAAAGTCCTCAATTCAAATTGTAATTTTTAAGTTTAAGTTTTTCGTTTTACTTCGTTCAAGGAGCTCGGCTCAGAACAAAAGTGTTATATTTAAAGATCAAAGTTGTAAGTTCCATATTTTAATCAAAAATTCTTCAAAGTTATTCATGTTGTGTTGTTTATTATTTATTCCATTATTTTTATATTTTATTTTATTATTTCGATGATTATTTAATCTTTTTAATATTCTGTTTCTCTCATAGTTCATTATCAGTTATTTATCTTGGGTATTTATATATATATATATATATATATATGCTTATCCAAAAGGACCAGAACTGTCTAACATTTCAAAAGCATGATAATCTTGAACAGATTATCATAAAAGACTATATAACAAAAATGTTGACCAGATATTGAAACAAGAGAAAACAACACCAGAGATTGAAAATTTTGGCCATGGAATTAAGAATAAAAATACAATATGTGTTTCTAGAAGTATGTATTGTACATACATCTGAAAAAAATAATAATAAAAAATGGTCTACATACACTCTTGTGATTGCTTGCATGACAAAAATAATTTTCAAATCATCGTGGTTTGACTCTTATACGTAAACAAAATTGGGTATTGGATCATTAATGAGGAATGTTTCTATTTGAAAATTTATATGACACTAAAATACGATTATGTTATTGATATATTCTTGAAAGCTTAAATAATCTTTTGAGTGGTCATTATTCAATTGTCTAGTTAATACAGCATCAAGGTCAAATGACTCAAAACTTTCTGAACCATTGGGGTTATCTTCTAGCCTCCTTCCCTCATTTGTCAAGAAAAATAAAAATAAAAACAACTTTTTGAATTTATTGACATATTATTTGAAAATTATAGCCTTTATCATAATACTACAAGCTTCCTTTTTTTTTTTTTTTTAATGTTAAAATATAAAAGATAATATTGTATTTATTTTAAAATGTTACAAGCATGGAAAGGGTTCCTTTGACTTGACAGCTATTGATACAACAAAAACTTTTAATTGGTCTTAAACATTCACATTACATCAAATAAATTAATTATGTCTCACCATGAGAAAACAAATTAAACACATAACCATTTGTCACTTATAACACTTGCATGATTGAATTTATTTGATGTAAAAATTAAAAATTTGAGACATTATTTTTAAAAATTTGAACTATAGATATTCAAAGCAGTTTCTATTTTCCAAGGAAAAACAACTAGTTCATGTCACAGATCACACAGATTAGACATGACAATATAAAAAAAAATAAAAATCACATAGTTCACACACACCACCGACAAATTTGATGATAACTGTTTCACAACTTGTGGGTGGATCCCACAGTTAAGACATGGCAATATTTGAAACGTCTATGCGTTTTTTATTTTGTTGAGTGTCCACAAAATTTCAATCAACGTTTCTAAGCGCAAGTGCAACTAAACAAAGTTATTTAAGTAAAGACAAGTAAAGAGAGAGGACAGAATTGATTGTCCAGAAAATTTTCAAGAGAGACAGAAGATAAGTAACAATTTACATCCGTGAGTTCCAAAACTATCAAAATTTGAAAAATAAACATTTCATTAATTCAATTATGAGAAGAGTTTAACCTTAATTATGTGAAATTATGAGGAAATTAAAAACCCTAACCGTTTAAAGAAAAACAATAAGGATTATACGGTTGAAACTTCCTATCAAAATTTATTTATAATAAATCTTACACTTTAACCAAACTTTTATATAATATTTTTTTTTTTTTTAACTATATATATATATATTATCAAACTGTTTGTCACTTTTGACTGGCAAGTATAATTTTATTTTAAAATAATTTGATATAATTTAAATAAGTATAATTTTATTTTTTTTTAATAATATTTTGGTACTCAAAACTTGTTAATTTAAGGAATTACCATAAGTTGTAGTTTAATGGTACTTTTTCGCCTTTTAAAGCAAATAGATAGTAGTTCAAGTCCCAAGAATAACGTAGGTATGTGAGTGTTTTATTGTCAAAGAGAAAAAATAATAAAAATAAAAATAAAGAAAAAGTGTATGACAATTGCCATGAGGAGGGGCAACTCATGAAAGGCTTGCTCTTAAACTTTTCACACGATAGACCAAATAAAATTGATTAACATTGTTGATGAGTGATTCTGATACGACCGATACGACGCCATTTTTGCCTTAACTAAGAATTACTGCTATTGTGGTGCCTGTCAAAAATCCTCCGATGATAAAGTCGATGATAAAAAAAAGGACAATTAAAGCAATGAATTTAAAGAGTTTACTGCTCGTCCAAATTTATCTCTGCAGAAGTGTTGGTTCCTCTCTTTGGGAAGTATTGAGCAACAAAACCTGCAACCACTTGGGCTTTTATTGCACTATTTGGCCTGTATTAAATATCAAACTCTAGTAAAAAGCTAAGGGTTTATATTGACATCACTTAATTTCCTTCTTGGAATTTGTAGGTGTTGAATACATCTCACTTCAAATGGCCCACATTTTTTGGTCAAACGGTCAACGGACTATGCCACATCATCAATAATGGCCCACAAAGCTCGGTCAAATAGTCAACAAGTGACGCCACATCAGAAATGATGGCCCACAAGTTAAACGGTCTAAGTTACGTGACACTTACCATGTCAGTATACTTCGAACAGAAGATCGAAGACTTGAAAACCTGAGTTGGGAGCAGGACTCAGGATTATTTGGGATCCAAAGAGGTTCTTGGTTTGGTGGATGAAGTTCAGGGCTCGTCGAGTTAACACTTAACCCGACTCGTAGAGAGAGATGCCATTTTGACTCCCATATATTTTAGACCCATCTTAATTAACATTATTTTATAATGTTAATAGGCCCCACATATGATGTCATATGACATCACCCAACCTCTTACTTGGCTTATATAAGGATGTGCTACAAGCTAAGAGAAGAGAGAGCAAAAAAAAAAAAAAAAAAAAAAAAAAAAAATAGAGGAGGAAATAACCTCTCATGGTTTGTGATACCCCTCGGATCCGAGACACGGGTTGATCAGGCCCAGGCCCAAACCCGAGGGAATATCAAACAATTAATATTTTATAACGAACACGGAATACAAAATGAATTAAGAAATGAAAGTTTAAAGCTGAAAAGAGAACTAAAAGATAATCCTTAAATAATTAAATACTTAAATTTGATAAACCAAATATCCATAATTTGAACAACTCGGGAATCCATCTCTAGTGGACCCCTAATAGAAATCTCACACTGAATGAAAGTAAAATGAAAGATAAAATCCAAATCCAAGATCTGGAAAGAAACCCTACATCGTCGATAGAATGGAAGATCGTCTCTGCTCAGCACGAACA